GTTACATCGTTAGTTTTACTTACAGTTGCTGTGTTCTCCTTTATGGTTTTATGGTGTTGTGCATTCCTTTTTATGGATTGTGGTGTTTACTTACATTTCTACCTCATGTATCTAGCGTACATGCAATAAATAGAAATAGAAAGACTACCACGTTGATATTCACGGGCTACAAGACAACGGCTTTCGCCGCTAATCACCGCGAGTGTTGCTTGCAGCGCCCTAACAAGGCGATTTCATTTTCAAACTCGTTAAAGAGAACGATAGCGTGTCGGTTTTCTGCTAGATCCTTGGTTCTTTTGCTTTCCCCAGATGCTTTCTGGGAACAAGCAAACAATGGCAGTACACTTCGTAAGGCAATATGCGTTTAAGTGCAGCTCAAATCCATCAGCGATGCACTTGTGAAGAAGTTCGTCTGTATTGCTTACCGTTTTTTAATGGATGGCATTCAGTAATGGAAGATGCAAAGAATTGCATTATGAGTCCGGCTTGCACAAAGGCAGCAAATTTGCAGAACTCGTTCACGGAGGCTGTGTGACTGTGAGGGAGGGGTTTTCTTTAGGACGCTCTTGAGCTTTCTTCTTGCCTTTTTTCTTCACTGGGAAGTCACTTATCGTTACTGTTTCGTAGCTGAACACCCACTATCCGTAATTCTTTATTGCGCGAATCGTGGTTTCAGATCAGTGCTGTTGACCTCATTGGGCTGCAGCAGCAGCCTCAGTACCACTTCGCCATACCGCCCACCCCTCCCTCCTCCCAGGACTCTAGGAAAGAAAAGGTTCTGGTCGGTCCTGCATCACAGGGGGCTTCCAACTCGAAACTTTACTTAATTTAATGTGACTTGTTTTGAGAAAGCATGCCTTTGCCGTGATTAGGTTGGGTGTTCATGAGACGTGTTAAACATTTACTTCGTGAAATCGATACAGAAAACTGCACGAGTGTTAGAGAGATATTATCATGACTATCTGTACAAAAGGGATGACCATTAGTAGTTCATGTGAATTCTTCATGCTTGATATACTCCACTTTTTCTCATTGGTCTTGCTGATTCCACCTCCCAGTCATAAGGATTGTGAATACTGCCACCTGCCGTGACGGCTCCCTCAAATGTTACTGTAATTTTGACGCTTGAAAAAGAAGCCTACAAATTCTAAGCGTAGCCCTGGCGTGTCGTTTCACGAGACTGCGCGCTCAGCCGTCCACGCTCCCCAAGACTGCGTTCATAATTTGTACAGCGTCCACCAGCGACCACTACCGTCCCGAGCGTCCTGCAGCGTCAGCGAGAGGAAAGTAGAGATATTGTTTTAACGTTTGCCAGAGTGTGCCTAAGGCCTCGAGAGCTCGGGAAGTATGGGTATCAATCTAGAGTCTGCCAGCGTTCACGAGTTACCAGGAGTAGAGAGCATGAGTAAGTAGGATGGTAGCAACTAGTTAGGCGTCGTGAAACTGCGGTGTGTGGAGCGCACAACTCCTAAAGCACAGAACTATGCAAATTGATGTACGGTATAGTGGAGTGGTAATGTAGTTATACGGTGCGGTTGCGCACGCCGCAATTTCACGACGCCTAATCCAGCTGTTTGCTACCCTCCTACTTCCCCATACTCTCTACTCCCGGTCGCTGGTGAACGCTGGTGGACGCTGGTAGACGCTAGATCGATATCTATACTTTCCTAGTCGCTGACGCTGCCGGACGCTCGGAACGCTAGTGGTCGCTGGTGGACGCTGATAGACGCTAGCGGACGCTGATGCAAGCGTTCGTACTTTATAACTCGAGCGATTTAGCTTTTGGAATTGGGAATCGAGTGGCTTCAACCGACTCGATTCCATGGCTAATCGCCAGACAACAGTCGGAAGAAGTTTTGTCCTGAATGCGATTGCCTCGGAAGTTGACTATGTTGTGAGCAAGTGGAATGCGAGCAATGGAGCGCGGTCGGCCCTAGTCGCGCGACAGAATGGCGAAGTATGAACGCCAAAGCTTCAGATATCTCGGTTACCTCTTCTAATAGTTTGTATATGAACGTATAATCAACGTGATCGTGATAGTGTAGACTGTCAATGTAGTCCAATACTCGTGTGAGCTCTTCCTTGCACTTCATGTTTCCGAATTGAGCTTCCTAAAACATCCCGACCTTCATGGCGCTATTTTCTGAGGAAATGCAACCTGATGCTGACCCGTTTCTCTTTCCTTATTTCCTCTTTCATCCGCAGAACTTCGTTCTTTTCACTGAGTGCTTTCCATAACAATCCTGGAAAGTACAGTAATGATCCTTGCAAACCGTAGGGGGTGCCACGCGGCGCGGTTGGGAGCGCAGCCAAGACTGCCGATTATGCCATCTTGTGTCTGCTACAAATTCTGACAAAATCTCCTCCAGCCGTTTCAAGCCACGATCCCGCCACATGACCTGCCGTTTGCTAGAATCATGACTGCAGTATGACGGGCAAAGCTAGCCTGTGGCGCGTTACCGAGTGTTTTCACCTCAAGCGATTACAGAATATCTGTTCAGAGATCAGCTTTCTCGCGATACCAAGGTTCGGCTGGATATTCCAGCCAAATACGGAGAAAATTTTAAAGACTTAGGGCAATAAGGGGTGTGTGACCGGTCGGTCGCCGCGGTGGTGG